TCCCGGCCAGGCAGACTGATGAATGTGACTCTGGGTCCCAGCCTGTCTGCAGCTCCTGAAATTTCTAGAAGAATGAATGCAAAAACTGCCCCTCGGCGGGCATTGTCAACATTCCACCCGAACAATGGCCTCGCTCTCTCTCCCCATTGTACATTCTCTATTCATTTGTGAATCCCCCCCCTCCCCTCTTTTGCCCAATGTGCAAAGCCTTTCTTTCCCCTGGCGAAGTCCTGAATGCCCAGTGCACCCATAAGTGAGGCTTTAGACATTCATAATGAGAACTAAAAGCAAACTTCAGTTTATGCCCAAACATTAATTTGTGAATATCATTAGTCACATTGAGGATTTCTGGAGACTAGCCATTAAATCATGATCAAAAGAAGCACTGAATACCTCAAAAAAAAAAAAGGATCCTGAAGTTTTCAGCAATTATTAAATATAATTTCCCTAACCCAGAGATAGGATTTAAAAAAAAAAACTTTCCAAAAAAAAAGCCTATCAAAAGTCTTTGATACATATTCCATCAAACACAGACTTGAATAAAAATTAACTTCAAAAGACTGGGCGAGGGGAGAAGCCTCAGCAAACTTTAAGGGGGGTGGGGGGGGACAAGGGGTGTCTGTAATGAGGGCGCCAGGCGGGAGGAGGGAGAGTGCCCGGCTGGGCTGGGCTGGGCTGGGCGGTCAGCCTGGGAACAGACCCGCGCTCCCAGGCCTGCCCAGAGTATCAGCAGGGCGAGATGGACAAGCATTTCTTAGCTACTGACCTGCAGAAATCTGCGGGGAGAGAGGCACCCCAAGACCGCCTCTGTTATGTTCACGTGGTAAGCCGACCCCTGTTCGTAGCCAAACACCCTGCACCTCTCTTAAGGGACCCAGAGGATAGCCTGGGAAAATATTTCCGAGCTGTCCCCAACAAACGCCAAGAAACGTCCTTCCCAATGCAGACACACACATACACACACACACACACACACACACACACACTCACACACGTGGCCAGATCAGATCAGGGCTCCCTCCCTTCCCAATTCCCACGGGGAGTTTTGTGAGTGGGTCCCAGGTCCCACAACACACCCGGGGAAGACAGCCCCTCTAGGGAAGTGACAATGAATTCAAGAAGACACTCTCCCACGGTCCACTCTCAATTTCCCCCACTCAGCCATTACAGGGGCTGACTTTGGGGGTGGGGGGTGGGGTGACTTGGCCTTCAAAAATGACTCAGGACAGTGGGGGCACTGTTGGCCAATGTCCCGCCGGTGCTGGGCCGTGTCTGCCCTTCGCGCAAGTGAGGTCCTCCTGGGCTTCCAAATCTTGCCCAGCTCCCGTAGTAATATCCCTTTCGAATCCACAGAGATGCCGGCTCAGCACTTATTCTCTTTATTCAGCATTTATTCACCTGGTGGGGAAGAGGCTCAGAGCACTAAGGTGTGGGCTGAGTTCGGGGGGTTTTGTCTGCTTGCTGGGGCGGTACCTGTTTGTTTCGCTTCTATTTCTCCGTGCAATGATTTCCAGACTTCTGAATAGGGATTTCTGTTTGGCGTTTTTTTTTTTTTAAGTGAAGAGTAAAGTTATTGATTATTCCCTGAAAGGGTAACTGGTGGGCACGTTAATAATTACACAGGTAGCAACTTTTTCTGTTTCAGCTTTGTGTACACGGCCGGATTAACAACGCTGGAGAAAGCAATCTCGTCCGGAGCGACAGGAACAGGTGTGCCCGGAGTCTTAAAAGGCCAAAATTATCTCACAAAGTATGTCACTGGTGTATTTTTACAATGCTGGCGGTGGTTGCTTCGGCAGCCAAACTTTTTCGACTCTCCTAACTTCAAAGAAACCCACACTTTGCAAATATTTCTTTCAGAGGCCAGGGCTGAAGTCAGAGATAAATTTGCCAGTTGGGCAGCCCCTGGTGCCTAGCACGGACGGGGACACACACACACACACACACACACACACACACACACACACACTTCAGGAACAAAGAGTTGGGGTGGTTGTGCAGCTTCTGAATCACAGTCAAGGAAAGGTAATTGAGCCTCCCCTCACCCCAGGAGAACACCCAGCCCCCACTGAAGGGCCGGTTTCAAAGATCCCAAATGAAGTCATAAATAACTCAGCTCGCTCTGAGGCTCAGCCATCCCACACCCCTCCCCCTCATCTTATTAAGGTACAATTAGAAGCGGGGAGGAAAACCCAACCCCCTCCCTCACCCCGAGAGCAGAAAGGATTAAACTAAAGCACCTCGGGTTCAGAATAAGCTCCAAAACCCAAGATTAAAAAAAAATTTTTTTTTCCTCTAATAAATGCGATCCGCGGGGCCAGACCGGGGTGGCCCTACCCCACTGGCACAGAAAAACCAATCAGTGCCATAAATCCCCTTTCGCCCTCAACCCTCTAGACCCTGGTTCTGGGGGAGGGGACACCCGGAGTGGACACTGAACCAACGCTGAAGCCCGCCCTGCAACAGAAATATGTCTCTGCCCTTTGTCTCGTCCTGTTATACCTGATCAAGTGTGAACGATTAAACTGGTTTCATTAGAAGCCGGCACGGCCACCACGAACACCCAAGCTCAATGGCATCTCTAAGCAGATTTTGCAAGGAGGAGAGTATGCCGATTTCTTTTTTTTTTTTCCTTGAAACCTCACATCGCATTACCTTTTCTTTCGGGGGCAATAAAAAGGGCGTGAGGGATTTTATAGGGGAGTGTCAGAACAGTTCAGAGATCTGAGGCCAGACAAAAGGATAGTTAGCGTTTCCACCCTAACACACAGTCCCTGTTACTTTTTTTTTTTTAAAAAAAAAAAGAGAAACCTTGCTTCAATCTTTGCTTTCAAAGTGTTTGCTTCGCACTTGGAATCGCATTTTGTAACTGCTCCAAGAGGTACTGTTACATCAAATAGGAAGAAAGCATTATCCTGCAAAGTCCCAAGTCTTCAAGATATAAAAGACTGATTTTTTTTTTTTAAATCCCAACTCCAAAGTACACGGAAACTAACGAGTTCTACTACGACTCGGCAGTCAGGCAGATCTGCAGTTACAGGTTCTGAACACGAGGAAACCCGAAACACTCTCTGAACCCCCAGCACCCAACGGAAGCCGCTGGAGAGAGGGCGCCGAGTTTGACACATTTCGCCCAAGTCGGGCGGCGGAATCACTCTTCCGAACTCACCAAAACACACGGCCCCTCCGAATTATCCGTGTCAGATAAAAATATACCAGTCTCTAGAATATCCAACGGAATTGCAAATCAGGCACTTAGCATTTTAAATTCCCGATGCATATTTATAGCACCCAATTCTCGTCTCCCCTCGCCGCCGCCGCCGCTCACATCTGACTCTCGAAGAACTTAACCCGATCGCCCGGCGGTACAATGGAAACGCACCCGTCGCGCGCCGGGGGGTCGCGACGCGGGCAGGGGCGCCCCCCGATCGCGGGAGGGGAGCCCGGGCGCCGGCGCGTAGGCCGCTGCCGGCGCGGCCGCCCGGGAGCCCGCGGAGCCCGGGGGGCAATCGGGGCGAGCTCCCTCCCTCCCTCCGTCCGTCCCTCCTTCCCGCCCCGCGGGGCGCCGCGACGCGGGGACCCCCCGGCGCCAACCACTGCGGCGCGGCGGGCTCGGGGGCGCGCGAGGGGGCGGGTGGGGGGGCGAGGAGGGGACCCCCCTGCGCCCTGGCGCGCGCGCGCGCACCCCGCGGTCCGCGCCCGGCGGGGCGGGAGCGTGTCGCGGCGGCCGCGGCCACCGTCCGCGCCGAGCTCCGGGGACCCCCGCGCGGGGGGTGATCGGGGGGCTACGCGGGGGGGGGCGGGGAAGCCCCCCGCGCCGCCGCCCGGCCCCGGCGCGCCCCGGGCCCCCGGCGCGCCGCGGCCGCCCAACTTGCCCCGGGCCGCGGGGCCTGGCGGGGCTGGAGGAAGAAAAGGCGCTGCCCCCGCGGCCGCCCGGCCCCCGCCGCCGCCCCGGGGGGCGCCCCCGCCCGCCCCTCGGGCCAAACTTTTCTCCGACGGGCTCGCCCCGCCCGAAAAGTGCGGCGCGGGCGGGGACGGGGCCGGCGACGCGCGGGCGGGCGGGCGGGCGAGGAGGAAGCGGTGCCCGCGGGAGCGCGGCCGGGCAGAGGAAATGCCCGCCCGGTCCGGCCCCGGCCCCGGCCCCGGCCCCGGCCCCGGCCCGCCCGCCCGGCCGCCGCCCGCCGCTCCCCGCCCCGCGGCCACTTTGGCGGGCCCGGCCCGGCGCGGCGCGGGCGGCGGCCGGGCTGCCCGGCCGAGCCAACAATGCGCGGCCGCACAACAAAAGGGCCCGCTCGCTCCTCGCCCGGCTCGGCTGGCAGCGGCGCTCCCGGGGCGCCGCGCGGGGTCCCCGGCGGGAGGGGGCCGCGCCCCGGGGGGCTCCCCACCCCCGCCCCGCCCCGCGGCCCCCGCCCCGCGCGCTCGGACGCGGGTCCCCGGGGGGATCGGGCCGTATTGTCCCCGCGGCGCGCCGCGCGCTCGGCCGGGGTCGCGGGCTGCCACCGCGCGCGCACCCACCGGCCTCGGGGCGCAGGGGCCGGGGCGCTCGGGAACCGTCGCCGCGACGCCGCCGCTGCCCTCCGGACGCCGCCGCCGCCGCCAAGCTCGGGGCTGCTTTTTTTTTCCCCTTCTTTTTTTTTGCCAATCCCGATGGGAAGGAAGGTGACCGCCTACTTCGCATTCATCAACTCTCATCACAACAACACAAACGCCAGCGCCGAGCGAGGCCGGCGGGCGCGATCGGCGCCCGGGGGGCGGCTCGCGGGGGACCCCCCACCCCGGCCCGCCCCTCCCCCACCCGCACCCGCACCGGGCGGCCACCGGGGCCGGGGGCGCAGACCCAAGATGTCCTCGGATGCGGCTCCGCGTCCTTCGCCCTCCGCGTCCTCCTCCTCCTCCTCCTCCTCCTCCCGGAGTGGCGCAGTGAGGCGCGGGCGCCGGGCCCCCCGGGCCCCCCGAGCCCCGCGGCCGCCCCAGCCCGCCTCCCCCGGGGGCCCCCTTACCTCGGCCCGGGCCGCCGGCGTCCACGGCGCGGGGCGCCCACCCGGGAGGCGGCGGCGGCGGCGGCTCCCGCCCCTCCCACCCCACCCGGCGGCGGCGGCGGCGGCGGCGGCGTTGGTGCGGGGGGCGCCCCCGTCAGCGCGGCATGGCTCGGGCTGGGTCCCCCGCGCGTCGGGCCGCTCCCGGGCCCCCTGGAAATGACACGCGCACCCGGGGACACACGCACAAAAACTTAATCTCTCCAGCTCCCCGCCCCTCCCCCCCCGCGCCTCCCCTCCCCTCCCCTCCCCTTCCTCCTCCTCCTCCTCCTCCTCCCCGCGCCGCCGAGCCGCTTCCTACTTCCCCACCCACCCCACCCCCTTCCCCCGCCCACCCGGCTCCCGAGCCTCCCGCCCGGGCCGGCCCCGCGCCCGCACGCACGCCGGGGAGGGGGTCGCCCGCGCGGGGGTCCCCGGCCCGCGCCCGCCGCCGCCGCGCTCACCCCCCGGAGCCGCCGCCTGCAACTTGGACCCGGGGCGGGAGCGCGTCCCGGGGGCCGCGCGCACCCGCCGGCGATTCGCTTCTTCTTTATTTGTTTTCTCCTCCGGGAAGGAGGCGCCGGGCGCGGGGGAAAGGCCGGGCCGGCCGCGGCGGTGGCGGTGGCGGTGGCGGTGGCGGCGCGGGCCCGGGCGCGGTGGCCGCCGGCTGCGCGGGAGCGAGGTGAGGGTCGCCGCTCGCGCACTCCTCGCTCTCTTTTTTTTTTCTTTTTCCTTTTTTTTTTGGCAAAGGCGGGGTCTCTCCTTGCAAACCAATGACACAACCCCACATGGGCCGGCCTCGCCCCCTCCAGATACTCCGCGCTACAAATCGGCTCTCTCGGGGGATTAGGGGCTCCGCGAAAGTGCACGCGGGCGCGCCGGGTGGGCGCGGGGCCCCGGGCGCGCCGGGCACCTCCGGATCCCACGCGCTGGGGGGGTGGGGGTCGCGGGGTGGCCGCTGCCCGGACCTTCCCCCTACTGGGGGGGTCCGGCGCGCCTTCCTCCTCCTCCGCCCCTTCCACGTGGGGCCCCGGGCGGCCGGCCACGTGGGGGGACGCGAGACCCGGCGGGCCCTGGCGCGGCACCCCGGGGTGGCCCCGGCCCGGCTCGCGCGGCGCCGACCGGCCCCGCTTCGCCCCAACTTCCTCCCGGGCTCCCCACCCCGATCCCTCCCGCGGGGGGCCTCGGCGGGGTCAGGCGCGGGGCGGCCGCCGGGGGCACCTGCGCACCCCGGATCCCCGCAGGGGTGCGCGCGCCTGCGGGAGAGGCGGCGGGGACGGGGTGCGTGGGGAGGGGGGCCCCGATGTGTTGGGACTTGTCGCGGTTGTGTTCCTTACAAGAAGGAAAACATTTTTTACGCGTTAGAAAAAAAAAAAATTCGTTCCTTCCTGCTGCCTGGATCTCGCCGGGGCTATTTTTAACGCCGCGCCCGGGGTGGGAAGCTGGGGCCTCGCGGGATGGGGGCGCGCGGCGGCTCGCGGGAGCGCCGGCTCGGAGTCCAGGCCCGGCTCGCGGGGTGTCGAGGCCGCGGGTTCGAGTCCGGAACCCCGCCGAGCAGGCCGCGCGCGCGCGCGCGCGCGTGCGCGTCGTTCCTCTATATCGGGTCCGCGCCGCGCCGGCCTGGGGGGACCCCCGAACTCTGGCCTCGGGTCCTCGCCGGCCGCGCGTACCCCCAGAAGCCCCCGTATGGGCTGCACTGAGCCTTTAGTCTCGCTCCGCTTAGGAGCCGGATCAGAGGTGGAGCGGTGAAGGCGCGGGGACCGCCCTTCCGGACACCCGGTGTCCGGCTTGTCCCCCGCGGGCCCGGGAAACGGGAAGGCGCCTCCTCTCCCCCCAGATGCCCACCGGCCTTGAATATTTGGTTTTCCGCGGCCACTAGGCCTCGTGTTTCAACATTTGAAATAATCCCGGGCCAAAGGGGACTCGGGGAGAGCCCTCTGCCGCCCGAGATGCCCTCGGGTGGGTGGGACAGGCACTGTGGTCCCGACCCCCTGAGGTTGCTTCATCATTAAATAATGTTTTCAGACTCAGCTGGAGACCCGCTAAAGGCAGGACAACCTCCCTCCCCCCTCCCCTGGAACCGGTTGCTTGAACCCTAACAGGCTACAACCCCGGTTGAAGCCCTGGGTTCTTGGGTATGGTTGACCCCGGCCACCCCCAGGCTACTGGGCTAAAAGCCCTTCTGAGTATCTCTGGTGTAACTTTAATAACCGTAAGCACATGTTCTCCGCTTCCTTTTTCCGCAGATGATCCCGGTTCCGAGTGCCCTCCAGTCTCACCCAGAAACCGCAGAAAGTCAGCTGGTTTCCATATCACTGTTCAACTTTCATGTCTATTCCGATCTGCCCTTGTTTTGACTCACTTCAACCTGCATTTCAAAAAAAAAAGATGTATTTATTTATCGGTTTTGGAGCCTTGCCCTGCTGGGGGGCAGCTCCTGACGCAGTGCTCAGAGCCATGCTCCTCAGTGTGTAGGGGCTGAGACCAGGTGTCCATATGCAGAGCCCGTACCCCAACTCTTTCCGCACCTTCCTGGACACAGAATTTTCAAATGCTTCTCCCCAGAGACTTGAGAGGTAGCGGGCAGGGTGTTTGCCTTGCACGTGGCTGACGCAGGGTTGATTCCAGGCACCCATAGGGTCCTCTGAGCCCCACCAGGAGTGATCCCTGAGCAACGCCAGGTGTGGCCCCAAAACAAAAAAATAAAACGCTTGTCCCCAGGTGAATGTCAAATTCCAGCTCTGTGTGTGTGTGTGTGGAGAGTTCCAAGCTAGACAACAAAACAGCTTAATTCAAAAACGGGCCAAGGCTAAGAGATATTTCTCGAAGGAAGATAAATGACCGAGGGACACAGGGAAACGTGTTTCTGATTAGAATCTGTGAGGGAAAAGCCTCGCAAAAACTCAGGGATACCTCCCTTCATGCTCACAGGGGTGAGCGAATAAAACATCCAAGAGAAAACGACACAGGGCGCTCGGAGGGTCTGTTCCCTGGCAGCGGGAGGCCCAGGTGCAGAGGCTGGGTGCGAGCTGGAAATATTACAGCAGGCAAGGGGCATGCCTTGTGCACGCCCAAGGCTGGTTCAATCATCTACAGATGGTCCCTCGACCCAAACCCCACCAGAAGTGACCCTTGAGCACAGACCCAGGAGTAAGCCCCAAACATGCGGGCGCAGGCACGCACTCACGCACACCCAAAATATAAAGCATTGAGCAGCTTCTCCCAAAATAGCGATTACTAGCTGACCTGCAATCCCAACTCTAGGAAGTAACACAAAAGAATGCAAGCAGATCTCAGATTTTTGTACACCCGGATTATTCCTCAGTCTTGCTCGTGGCAGCCAACAGTGAGAACAGCTCCAGGTCCAAGTAGCTGGATAATCAAAGCATGGCCTCTGCCTCTGCGTCTAGACCCTGCAGTGACCATCAGCATTAAACCGGAAGGACAGGGCCCACGGAGGTGCTTTACTGGTGAAACCCAGATTTTTTTTTTTTCATGGAAGGCTTGGGGTCCCCCCAAACCCCAAGACTGCATTTACCCCTACTCCCCCTGGGCCCTGCAAGAACCACCCAAGTACAGGGTTGGGAGTTACCTTCCCGTGAGACCCCCAAAACAATTTATAAAGAAAAGGCTATTTTGACACAGGTCAGGGTACACATCTTGAAAGCATGTTGGGAAGTGAAATGAAAGAATCAAAGTGTGATGAGCCACAATTCTCCGAGGTTTCCAGACAAGACATTCACCGGGGCAGAGTGGGATGGACGGAGGTTACCAAGAGCAATAGTGTCAGTGACCAGGGGTATGGAACTTCTGTTTGGGACCCAGAGACAGTTCTAGAAGTGGATGATGGTGGTGGAGTTCCACAATATCGTGGGTGCTCCCAGATCTATACACTTAAGAGGGATGACTAGAGGGGCCTGGGCCCAGATATTGCACATGACTTGAGGGGCCTACCCGGGGGTCTGCCTGGGTCCATCTCTGGCACCACGTACCCTGAGCACCACCAGGTATGACCCCGGAAACCTGGATCCAGTCTGGTTGACCAAGAGTTGCTGCAAGAGGTCTGCAAACTCCCTGAGTACCACTTGGGACTCCCCCCCCCCCCCCACCATTTGAATAAAATAGTGCGGTTTTTTTTAATTTTTAAAATTTATTTATTTTTGCTTTTTGGGTCACACCCGGCAATGCACAGGGGTTACTCCTGGCTCTGTACTCAGGACTTACTCCTGGTGGTGCTCAGGGGACCATATGGGATGCTGGGAATCGAACCCGGGTCGGCCGCGTGCAAGTCAAACGCCCTACCCGCTGTGCTATTGCTCCAGCCCCAATAGTGCGGTATTTTATGTTGAGTTTATTATTGCGTCAGACCTGGCAGTCCTACTGCTGTAGGGACTAGCCCAGCCTGAATTCCATCCCATCTCTCTGGGTCCTGCATTAAAGTGTGTTTGTACAACACAGAAAGGTTGCACATTAGTTCTTGTCTTCCAGACCTCTTCGTAATTTATATGTGTGACTGTAATGCCAGTGCTGGGGGGACATACGTGTGTGGTGCTGGGGATCAAACCCGGGTCTGCCACCTGCAAGGCAAACACCCTCCCCGCTGTACCATCGCTCCCACCCCGAAGGTATTGTTCCAATAAGAACAAAAGACAATGACAAAAAGAAAATATTTTGTTTTCAAATGGATTTCAATTAACTTACAGAATAAATGCCCTTTTTGTCTGCATATTACTGTTGTATAACAGTTATATATATATATATATATAGATATTCTACATATTGTATGGGGATATTAATCTTTCAGTCATCTTGATCTTCCCATCAAAACCGGTTGGGCCAGTCAAGTCATCTTCAATTTCTGAAGCCTCAACATGGATTGTACACACACACACACACACACACACACACACACACACACACACACTCTCATCTTCACTGTGAGGTGGTTCAGGAAAAGCAAGGTTAGTTATTCTGAAACATTTTTAGCAGAGTCTTATTATTTTTGTTTGTTTCATCAAAACTTGGCTCTAATTTGGGGGTCTGAGGAGCACACCTGACAGTATTTAGGGGTTACTCCTGGGTCTGTGCTCAGGCATCACTCCTGGCTG